GCAGGGTTCTAGGCTTAAGTCAGGCCTGTCCCTCTACAGGAGGAACATTCAAGAATAGTCAAACTTAGTCTGGGGACGAGTTGTTGCCTATGTTAAAAAAGTTGGGGGAATTGTTCGAAAAGTCCGAGGCAGGGAGTCCCCCAGACCCAGGCGTTGTCACTTTTTCACGGCGGGCGGTGGTCGCCAGGCATCGGGCATTGGGGCCCTCACGGACCGATGCGGCTCGGATGATGACGCAGGAAGATGGGGTCTAGGGTTCGGGCAGTGATTCCTGGCGATGTCTCAATTTCCGAAACGTCTGATCTCAGGGTTTATCCATAACCACCGCCTGGGAGATCGATTTTTGCGGACCTCCACATGAGGTGGACATGTATATATTTGGGCATAGTGGGGCCAGCATATATATGTGTGTATATATATATGTGTGTGTGCTCATATATATATATATATATGTGTGTGTGTGTACATGCGTGCATGCATGCATACATATACACATACCTACATATATACGTACACGCATACAAACATACATACATACATACATACATACATACATACATGCATGCATGCATGCATGCATGCATGCATGCACACATACATACATACCTGCAGCAATGCATACACACATATGCATACATACATACATACATACATACATATATACATACATACACACATACATATAGATATACATACATACATACAGACAGACAGACATACATGCATACACACATATATGTACATACATACATACATACAGACAGACAGACAGACAGACAGACAGACAGACAGACAGACAGACATCCATCCATACATACCTGCATGCATGCATGCATGCATACATGCATGCATGCATGCATACATACATACATACATGCGTATATGCATACCTACATATACATACATGCATGCATGCGTGCATGCATACATACATGCATACATACATACATGCATGCACATCGTTGTACATACATACATACATGTATACATACATACATGCATGCGTACACACACATACACACATACATGCATACATACATACATACATACGTACATACATACATACATATATACATACGTACATACGTGCATGCATACAGACAGACAGACACACAAGCATGCATGCATGCATGCATACATACATACAGGCATACATACATACGTTCATATATATACAGGCAGACAGACAGGCAGGCAGACAGACAGACAGACACAGACATACATCCATACATGTATACAAGCATACATATATATACAGACATACATACATGCATGCAAGCATGCATGCATACATACATACGCACATATAGTCATGCACTCATATACATACATGCTTACACCTATACATACATGCATGCATTCATACAGTCAGACATACATACCTACATATATACATACGTGTATGAACGCATGCATGTATACAGTTATACATATATATATATATATACAGATTGTGAACACCTGTAAATATTTATACACATACATACACCTATTCCTTTTTCATTTATTTCTATTACCCGCCCCCCCCCCCCCCGAGATCGGACCCCCCCAATCCCGGGCCACCAGGACCCTCTGGGAACCCCGGATCCCCGGCTCCGTGGCCCTGTGGACCCCCTGGACGCCCCTGCAGGAGGCCCCCCAGGCGTTTCAGAGATCCTTGAAGCCCTTGCTGCGCCTAGGCAACGGGCCCAAATCGGTCAGGAGGGCGGCCGAATGCCCCCCCGAGGGGTCCCTGAAGTTTGGCATGCAGGCGGGAGGGCGGGAAGGTCAAACAGAAAATCCAGCGATAACTCCGTGTTGTCTTTTCCGGCATCGCCGTTATACTAATGTTATTCAATGTTTCCTCCATGCTTCTTTTTCCTCATTCTCGTCCTACCCTGCGAAGTCTTCCCCATCCTCCTCAGCCTTTTTTTGCAGATGCTCCTCCTTGGAGGGCCTCTGGGTGCCTCACGGAAGTTGTTCAGGCTTTTTTAAGGTTTGTTGGAGCCTTCTGGGCGTCTTCTGGGGGCTTCTGGAGGCTGCCTCCAACCGTGGTCTCCCTGAATGACCAGGTCACGATTTGGAATGCTTCGGAGGGTGTCGTGGAGCCATTTGGGGCCGTTATGCCGTATTGGGGCTCTCTTGGACTGCCTGGAAGCCCTTTCGGATGCTTTCGGGGCGATGTTCGGGCCTTCCAGGCTGTCTCGGACGCCCAGAAGACAGAAGAACAAGGCATTATCAAAATCATGCCCAAACCTTGAAAAATCAATGTTTGTCTACTTTTTGAAAGCCTCTTGGGGGTCTTCTTTGGGTCGTCTTCGGTCGTCTGGTGGGTGTCTGGGGCCTCTTAGGGGCCCTCCGGGGGGCGTTCGGCCGCCCTCCTGACTGATTTGTGCCCGTTGCCTAGGCCCAGCAAGGGCTTCCAGGAGCTCTGAGAAGCTTGAGGGGCCTCCTGCAGGGGCGTCCAGGGGGGCCCCTGGAGCCACGGATCCAGGGGGTCCCGTTTCGGGAGGGGGGGGGCAGTTTCCCCACCCCTCCGGAGTATAATACATAGAATTAGGTTGGAATGTGTTCATTTCCATATCATATCTGCACCCACATCCATATCCATCTCCACCGCCCGCTGGGGCTCCAGGACGTCGGTTCCCAGGCGGTGGCTACGGATTAATCCCCGCCTCGCATAACAGCTGTCGGTGTGCAAAGGGGGTCAGTGACATGTCAAAGTGGCCTTTCGCCAGGGTGGCTTCTGGTGCGGGCCCACTGGGGCCCCCCGACCGCGGGATGCGATGCGACAGCGGCGGCTTGCGCGCCTGGCGGCGTCCCCAGGGGGCCCCTGCAGGCCGCGCACGAAGGATCACTCGTGCCCAGGGTCACTCCTGCGTGTAGCCGAAAAAGGGGTAGGGGGAGGGCGGGGAAGGCCTCTTAGAAGGAGGCTGCTTCTTAGAAGGCGGCGGCCCTGCATCTGTAGGCAAGGCCCGCGCCTTCGAAGAAGCAGCCTCCTTCTAAGGAGCCTTCCCCCCTACCCCTACCCTCGGGGGTGGACAGACCTCCTACCCCGACACGTCGATCAAGGAATTGGCCGTTTTCGGTTCGCGAGAGGGCGTCGCGGCCGTCATTTTTGCGGGTCCAGGTCCGTCGGTTTCGGTCCCAGGCCGTTTTCACTAAGGGGAGGTTTACTAAAGGTAGGTTTGTCCACCGCCGATACCCCTCGTGCGCGCCGCCAAAGGTCCGTGCGGAGTAAGTCCGTACGGAGTGTTCGGTATCCGTCTGTGCTCATCCCGTCGGGGCTCGGCCGGTCCTGGCTGGCAGGATGTTGAGGGTCCGTGTGGAGTAAGGCCAGACGGGGTGCTCGGCCTCCCTCTGGGGTTATTCCGTTGGGACTTGGCCTCTCCTGAGGTGCGGTGGATGTCCAGCGGCGAGCCCGCGTGCACGCTGGCGGCCTGCGAGCTGGTGGCTGGCCTCAAGGCTCCGCATCGTGGAACCGAGCCCCACCAGCCCACCACCCCAGCTGGGGATGCGCCCCGCGAAACTCGAAGGGAGCAGCCCACATCCCCATCGAGGGGGCCAAATCGGCTCAACGGGGGATGGGGATGGTTCAACGGTGCGCTGAGGCGCGGGCTCAATCGGCTCAACGGGGGCCAAATCGGCTCAACGGGGGATGGGGATGGGGCTCAATCGGCTCAACGGGGGCTAAATCGGCTCGACGAGGGGGCCACGCCCGCTGGGGGATGGGGAGCGCTTCAACGGTGCGCGCTGAGGCGCAGATCCGGGAGCGCACGGGCGTGCCCGTCGAGGAGCAGCACCTGTTCTTCCCGGGGCAGCGGGCCGTGCCCCTCCGGGAGCCCGTGCGCTTCCCCGGCGGCGCGGCGACGCTGTGCTTGGTCAGGTCGTCGGTCGACCCGTGCAAGACGGACCTGGGCCACTTCCGGTTCCTGGGCGCCTTCAGCCCCGTGCCCTCTGGGGACTTCCTCAAGGTCAGCACCCTGTACAAAGGGACCCATGGAAAGGTCCAGCACCACATGTGGTGCAAGCCTGAGGGCAACATCCAGGTCGCCGTGAAGAAGATCGCGGCCGTCAGACTGAGAAGTGTCCTTGACACAGAGACCGACGAGCGGGTGTCGCATTTCAGACTCGACTCTAGCAAGCGAATCGCAGATGACGAGGACTATGAGGACCCACTTGCTGAGATCGGCATTCTCAGCTACCTCAGCAGGCAGTCCGACCTCTCGAGTAACTTAGTTAGGATGCTGGGAGTGTTCTCCGACACCACCTGCGTATGGGTAGTCATGGAGCTTGCCGAAGGTGGCGAGCTTTTCCCCGCAATCTCTTCAGGCCGCGTCCACGGGGAGAGACAAGCGGGGAGGTATACGAGAGAGATGCTGGACGCTGTCGCGTACCTGCACAAACACCACATAGGCCACCGAGATGTCTCTCTCGAGAACGCCGTCCTGACAAAGGCAGGAGTGCTGCAGATAATCGACTTTGGTATGTCAGTGCGCAGCCACTCTTTCTCTGGCGTGCCGTTTCGCTACTTCCGCCGAGTGGGCAAGGAGTGCTACAGGGCTCCAGAGTGTTACGTCCCAGACGTGGAAGAGGTGGTCAACGTTGTGTGTCCAGCCAAGGCTCTACCAGGCGACGTGCGCATGGTCAGGCTCCCTTGCGACTTACTGGCGGAGGTTCGGCTCCCGGACACTGCCCACCCTGGAGAGGCTTGCACGTGTGAGGTCTGGGGATATGCCGTCCAGCCTGCCGATGTCTTTGCTGTGGGCGTTTGTGTGTTTAGCATGTGTTACCGATGCCTGCTCTTCAAGCAGGCCACGTTTGCAGACCCCTATTTTGCGTGGATCCATGCGCAAGGCGAAAGTAGCATAGCCGAAGCCATTCGCAGCTGGGGCATGGAGCCCTTCGCGTTGGCGACAAGCTTGCTGGAACAGATGCTCTGCCTTGACCCCGCACGGCGACCATCGGCTGCGGAGTGCTTGACGCATCCGTGGCTGGCAGAATCCAATGGCTTGTAGTCTGGCAATGCTACCAGTGCTGTCCCCGTCACGGACCATTCGCTTGCGCGCGCAGGCGTTGCAACGGGTATCGTTCCAGCGCAGCCGCAGGAACGGCCTGTGCGTCACCCGCGCGTGCGCGAAGATGGCCACGCCTCGCGGCCTCTGTCGAAGAGCTGCCCTCCTGGGCGGCGGCGCGACGGCGCGAAGACGGGCAGGCGCGGCACGGAGCGCAGAGGTAGGCGGCACCCCGAGCTGTCAAGTGCGAATGTGCGGGACCGGCTTTGCCCAGAGCCTGGATGATCCAGGCTGTGCAGGGGCATGGCTGTGGCGCAGCCGCGTGCATGTATGGTGGCAGCCAGCCCCGTGCCTGCTACTGCTGCCACCTCGCTTTGCGCTCCTCTCCAGCGCCTTCGGCCTCGCGCTGCTCTCCACCGCTGGTCGACCTGCCACGTTCGATTGCATGCAGGACGGAAAACATGGCCCACAGAGCTCCCGACGTCGTGTCCGCGGGCCGCCCCGAGAGGCGAACGAAGCATGAGAGGAGCTGCACATGCTCGCAAGCGGTCTGCAGCCCCTGAAGGCGGCTCCGAGATTTGCTTTCGAAGCTGCCCGAAGGCTCCCGAGAGTCCCCCAGAGGGCCTCAGACAGCCTGACGATAGGCCGAATGGCTCCAGGACGCCCGGACGGCCCCCGGGCCTTTCGAAATAATGGCCCAAGGAAGCCGCAAAGGACTCCGAGGTGGCTCCAAGAGGGAGCTCCCAGATGGCCCTAAGAGGGCACCAGAATGGCCGAGGGCGACTCTCCTTCCCCTCCTCCTGTCCCTCGCCGCTCCCTCGCGGAAGAGCCAGGACACGCGTGCCACACCAAAGTTTTGAAGGGCTTCTTGGGTCCTTCTGGAGACCTCCTGGGCGCCTTCTGGGGGCCTCTAGGGGTTTCCTCGGGCCACCCTGCGTCCAGCCGCGGTCTCCGGGAACGACCGGGCCGCGATCTGGCATGTTTCGGGGGGCGTCTTCGGGCCATTTTGGGCCGTCGTAGGGCTTCCTCGAGCCACCCCCTGCTTTCAACCGCGGTCTCCCCGAACGACTGCGCCACGATTTGGCATACTTCGGGGGGGCGTCGTCGGGCCGCCATCTTGGGGCCCACTGGGGCCGTTTTGGGGCTGCCTTGTGCTGCCTGGAAGCCCTTTCGGGTAGTTTTGGGAGGAGTTGCGGGCCTCCTGGCGGTCTGAGCATTCCCCGAATCATGCAAAAACTGTATGGGGAATCCATGCTTGCTGGCGTTTAGAAGGCCTCTGCGGGCGTCTGGTGGGTGTCTCGGGGCCTCTCGGGGCCCTCGGGGAGCCGTTCGGCCGCCCTCCTGACCGCCCTGGGCCCGGCGCCTGGGCCCAGCAAGGGCTTCCAGGAGCTCCAGACATCCCACTGAGCCTTTTGCAGGGGCGTCCAGGAGCCCCGCGGGGCCACGGATCGGAGGAGGGGGCTGTTCTGGGGATGGGGTACGACTTGTCTTTTCCTTCACGACTTGCCAAGTTACACCAAGAGGAATGCACATACATGCACCTACTTCTACATATATGGGAGTTCCCGGGCCCCGGGCCCCGGGCCGGAACCTCCCTTGTACATAGGTAGTGGCCCCCTCCCGGGACGCCCCTCCAGCGGCCCCCGCGCGTTCCAGTCCGCCCAAGAAGGCTCCAACAGCGCCGAGAGAACCCCAGGATCGTTTCCAGACCGCCCAAGATCGCTTCCAGAAGGGCCAAGAGGCCCTCAAGCCGCCCCAAGAGGCCGCCGAGAGGCCCCCCAAGATCGCCCCGGGAGACCAAAATGGCCCCATTCCCTTTGTAAAACGTGCATTTTTAGGATATCAGCTCCCTTGGACTTCGGAGCGGTCAAAAAGCCCCAAGAGGCGCCCAAGGACGCCCCAGGACGGCTGAGACAGCCCCAAGACGGCCCAGGAGGGCCTCCCGGGACGCTCCTCCGGCAGCCCCCGGGCCTCCCAGTCTGCCCAAGATGGCCCAAGAGACTTCCCGGTCGCCCCGAGAGAGCCCCAGGAGCGCTCCGATACGGCCCAAGATGGCTTTCAGAAGGGCCACGACGCCCTCAAGACGCCCCAAGAAGGCTCCAAGAGGCCTTCCAAGAGAGCCCTGGGAGACAAAACTGGCCCCATTCCTTCTGTAAAACAGATATATTTGTAGAAGAGCCCCCAAAAGGCCCCAAGAGGCGCCCAAGAACGCCCCAAGACGGTCTAGGACAGCCCCATATACACATCACATCAATAAATTGCCCCTCCCCCCCCGCCTGGGCCAGCCCACCCCGCAACCATCGGGGGAAGCCCGCTGATACCCCCCCCCCCCGTTTCGCTCCCCAGAGGCGGCCCCGAGAGGGTAAGAGGGTGCCAGACGAGCTAAGAGGGTTCCAAGAGGCCCCCAAGACGGCGCAAGAAGGTCCCGAACTGCCCAATACGGCACAGGAGTACTCCCAGAGCACTCCCCAGAGGGGCCCAAGAGGCCCAAATCATTAATTCCTGCGGGGGGAAGCACATCTTTAGCATGTACGACTTTTCAGCGTTCGCGGCTTTCACGACGGTCCAAGAGGCTCTAAAGATTTTCTCAAGACAGCCCAAGACGTTCCCAAGAGGCCCCCAAACCAGCCCAAGAGGGCACCAAGACGGCCCCAGGGCTGCATGAGACGAACAAGTTGGCCCCAAGACGGCCCCTTGAATTCACACGGGAAAACGTAAATGTTTTTCATATGCGACTTGTCGGCCTTCACGGCTTTGAAGACGGCCCAAGAGGTTCCCCAGATTTGCCCAAGAGAGCCTACGACATTCCCAAGAGGCCCTCAAGACAGCCCACGAGAGGGCCAAGACGGCCTAAGGGCTGCCAAAGACTGCCCAAGTTAGCCCCAAAACGGACCCCAAGAAGGCCCAAGAAGGCCCCGAGTCGCTCAAGACTGCCTAAGATGGCCCCCAGAAGGTCCAAGAAGGCTCGGAGACGTCCCAAAAGGCCTCCAAGAGCACTCCCAAGAGGATCCTTAGAGACCAAATTCGGTACATTCCTGTAGGCGAAACGTACATTTTAGCATGTACGATTTTGGGACTGTAGCCAAAAAGGGCGCCAAGACGGCCCAAGGGCCGACTAAGACGGCTCCAGGAGGGGTCCAAGAGGGGAATTCCGACTCGAAAGTAGCAGCCGTCCACCCAAAGAACCTCCCAGGAGGCCCCAAAAGTCCCCAAGAGGTCCCCAAGAGACCCCCAAGAGGCCCAAACGAGGCCCCAAGATAGTTCAAAACGGATAGGACGGCCTCCAAGAGGTCTCCCAAACGGGTCCGGAAAGGTCTTCTTGCGGATCCGTACATGCACAGCTATACGACGACGACGATTTCTTGGCCCATTCTTAGGTCGCTGCGGAATGGTCTCAGGAGGTCTTGGAAGCCACTTGAGCCGTTGGCGTAGTTCTTGGGTTCCCCGGAGGGATGTGTCACAAAATAGAGGTCTTCAAAGTTCGACCGTGAAGCCTAGCTAGAACTTCAGCGCGCGCGAAGCGCGCGCGTGGTTCTTGTATACATATATATATATATATATATATATACACATACATACAAATTTGCAGTGACGTTTCGCGCCATGCACCTTGGTCCTTGAAGTTGGGTGTGCAGGCGGAACGGCAGGAAGGTCAAGCCGACTATTGAGCGATAATTCCTTGTTGCCTTTTCCGGCATCGCCGTTTTAATAACGTCAGCCGTTATTTTTCCTCCATGTCTCTTTCTCATCATTCTCGCCATACGCTGCGCACTCTCTCCATCCTCAGCTCTTTTTGCGGAGGCTCCTCCTTGGAGAGCCTCTGGTGGCCTCACAAAAGTTTCTCAGGTTTTCTTGAGGCCTTCTGGAGGCCTCATGGGCGTGTTCTGGGGACCTCTGAGGGCTTCCTCGGGCCCCCCTTCCTCAAACCACGGTCTCCCTGAACGACCGGATTACGATTTGGAATGCTTCGGAGGGCGTCTTGGGGCCATCTTGGGACGCCATGGGGCTCTCTTAGGGCCATCTTGGGCCCCTGTTGTGCCATTTTGGGGCTCTCTTGGTCTGCTTGGAAGCCCTTTCGGATAATTGTGGGCCGATTTTGGAGCCTCCCAGGCGGCTTCGGACGCCCAGAAGACCGCCGTCTTGGAGCGTCGGGAAGCCGAAATGAGGAGAACCCCAAAATTCACCGAAAACCCACAGCAAATCAATGATTTGTGCCTCTTGGGGCCCTTTCGGGAGTGCTCTTAGAGGCCTCTTGGGACGTTTTGGAGCAATCTTTGGGGGTATGACAGCTTCTTGGGGATCGTCGTAGACCGTATTGGGGCTCTCTAGGGTCGTTTCGGGAGCGCGCCCGAACGCCTGGAACCCGTCTGGGGCCGTCTTCGGGCTCTCGTGAGGTTCTCCCGGGTCGTCTGAAGGGTTACCTGGAGACCCAGGGAGGGCCAAATTCGTTAGGGGGGGCGTTTTTTTCGGCGTCCCCGGCCGGCCCTATAAAAATATACGAATAGGAGTATATATACATATGTGTGTTTATATCTATATGTATGTGTATACACACATATATATACACACACATATATACATATATGTATATATATATATATATATATATATATATATATATATATATATATATATATATATATATCATACACATGTGTTGTGCGAAACGCATGTTTCCTTTTTTTCGTCTTGCGAAGCAACCACCCTTTGGGGGGCCCCCCCCCCCCCCAACACACACACACACCACACACACACACACACACACACACACACACACACACACGCACACACGCACACACGCACACACGCACACACGCACACACACACACACACACACACACGCACACACGCGCACACACACACGCACGCACGCACGCACGCACGCACGCACGCACGGGCTGCACAGCTCAGAAGAAAAGGATGTCATTATTGGGTTTCCTGAGGGCTTCGAGATGGCCCAAGACGGGCCCAAGATTGTCCAGGACGGCCTCAAGGCTGCCCAGGAGGTCCCCAACACGCTCCTCCAAGAGTGCCCCGAGAGGAGTCCCAGGAGGGCCTCCAGATGGCTCCAGAGGCAAAGAATCGTGAGTTGTCGAAATGGGTTTTGAAGAATGATCGCGCTCCGGTGTTCAAGCTCGGGGACCTCATAGACGGCCTAAGAGGCCCACCAGGACTGCCCAAGGGGCCCACCAGGATTGACCAAGAGGCCCCCAAGACAGTCCCAGGACGGTCCAAGAGGGCCCCAAGACGGCCCAAGAGTCCCCCAAGACGGCCCCAGATGGGCGCAATGGACGGAAGTCAAATTGGCTTCGGGAGCATCTCCACCCTAGAGGCCCCCAGAGGCAACCAAGACGCCTCCAAGAGGCCGCCGAGAGGCCCCGAGAAGTCCCCAAGAAGCCCCCCAACAGCCACAAGTAAGTTTCCAAGACGGCAGGACGGCACTGCAAACCAGCCAATTGGCAGACTTTACGCGCTCCGGACGTGCACCCCGCGAAGCGACAGGAATTACCACTGCTCAAACATTACTAATTATGCAGACCCCACGTCTGAAAGTGGCGTGCTGAGCGGCAGCGTTGTTCGCTTGCGCTTTTTCCCGGTGAAACCCACACTAAATGAATTGCAGAAGTAACTATGTGTGCTGAGATCCTTCTGCTACACAACCCTCCTCCTATCTCCCAATAGTCTTCCATTGACAGCAGTTTGTAGGGTTTGGGAGGCTCAGGAAGTTCACAGGACGAGGAACCAGGCGGAAAAAGGAACGTTGACAGAGGGGAGGGGGGGGGGCAGGAGACGGAGGGACGGTGGAGGGGGCGAGAGAGGTCCTAGGAGGGGGAGGAGCAGCTGTTGGAGGGGGAGGAGGGAGGGGGAGGAGCGGTTGTTGAAGGGGGGTCGGAGAGAGAGGGCGAGGAGGGAGGAGGAGGGGAGGAGGGCGAGGAGGGGGAGGCGGGGGGAGAGAGGGGGAGGAGGGGGAGGAGGAGGAGGCGGGGGAGGGAGAGAGAGGGCGAGGAGGGAGAGAGGAGGGGGAGGGGCGGTGCTGGGGAGGGAGGGGAGCCTCGTACCCTGAGACCTCGCGGCACCGACCCCCGAGAGGACGCCACACCCAGCGGCCTCAAGCTGGACCTGAACGCCGAGGCGGCCCCGCTGCCTGCCCCAGAGCCTGCATCGGGGGCGCGAGGGCAACTGAGCGCGCGACGCGCCTCTCCTTGCCCTTCCTTCCCCCTCCCTTCCCTCCTCCCTTCTCCCCCCTTCTCCTTCATTCCTCCGCCATTCCTCCTCGGTTCCTCCTCCGGCCCCTCCCCCCTCCCTCTTGCGGCGGCTTTCCCTCCCTCCCCCGCTCCCTCCCCTCTCCCCGCCGCCCTGTGTCCAGCCTTGCGCCGTGCTCGCGCCGTGCCGCCCTGCTGCTCCCAGCCCGCCTCGAAGGCTCGACCGCTGCGGCGCCCGCGCTCCGCCCCTGGGTGCATCGCGCCCGGGCGCCCCTGGCGAGCGTCTCCCTCGCTCTCGCTCGGCCCCCCCTCCTCGGGGCCACGGGCACGCGAGCGATGGCGAATCGCGGCCTCTCGCGGCGCGAGGCGTGAGGCTGCCCGCCAATAGGGCGAGGCAGACACGAAAGAAAGACCGCACCGCATGCCCGCTCGTCAAACCCTAGCTCCACACTGCCCACACACGCTCTCTCTCCTTTCACTCCGCGCACCGAATCGCCCATCCCGAACACGCACAACGTCACACCATCAACGCGCCACTCCCACCCACCCGCTCGGGGGCGTTCGGAGAACGGTGCCGGAGCTAGCCGCGTGCTCGAGTCGTGGCCAGCCGATCACTTATGTTCGGGTTTATTGCTTCTCTTGGCTTGTGCTAGATTTCGCCGCAAGCAGCGGATCGTTAGGCTTGAGCCCAGATTGGCTCAAGATTCGCACCCAACATGCAAGGAGGAGAGAGACTGGTCCACTCTGGCAGATCTGCCCTCGAGAAACCGTTCTTTTCTCCTCGGGTCGTGGCCAGCCCACTCTGTCGCCGCTGCCTGCGACCCCGCGGCGATTTGCAGCGCGATCGGCCTCGATGACAGCACATCGTGCACGACCAGCAACGCGATCGATCGGCTATTGGCAAGCCTCGGTCGCCACTGCGATCTTGCTCCTCCACCTCGTCCTCGTCCTCCGCCTCATATTTATCCGCCTCTCTCTCCAACTCCTCCTCCTCCGCCTCCTCCTCATCATCATCATCATCATCATCAGCATCAGCATCATCATCATCATCATCATCATCATCATCATCGTCATCATCATTATCATCATCATGAGCATCAGGAGCATCATCATCATCATCATCAGCAGCAGCATCAGCATCATCATCGTTATCATCATCATAATCATCATCAGCAGCATCATGGTCGCCATCATCATCATCAGCAGCAGCAGCAGCACCAGTATCATCATCGTCATCATCATCATCATTATCAGTACCATCATCACTCATTATTATCCGTATCATTATCAGCAGCAGCATCGCTATCATCTTCAAGACCTTCCAGGCTTTCCCCAGAAACCACAGTAGCCCTTTAGATCGAACGGCATGGCACTAACCCCTAACCATCCTCCCTCCTCTTCTCACTCGTCATACCCCTTGTCATCGTTCCGCTGCTCGCACTTCACCTCTCGTTGTTGTTGTTGTTGTTGGTGTTGTTGGTGTTGTTGTTGTTGTTGTTGTTGTTGTTTGGTGTTGTTGTTGTTGTTGTTGGTGTTGTTGTTGTTGTTGTTGTTGTTGGTGTTGTTGTTGTTGTTGGTGTTGGTGTTGGTGTTGTTGTTGTTGTTGTTGCTGTTGCTGCTGCTGCTGCTGCTGCTGCTGTTGTTGTTGTTGCTGTTGTTGTTGGTGTTGTTGTTGGTGTTGTTGGTGTTGTTGTTGTTGTTCGTGTTGTTGTTGTTGGTGTTGTTGTTGTTGTTGTCGGCCACTCCTTCTCCTCCGCATCCTCCTCCGTATCCTCTCCATCAGTATCATGATCATGTTCCTCCTCTTTTTTCACCGGCGTCAATATCATCATGCTCCTCGCTACTATCGTTCATCCTCTAGACCTCCTTCCCGATAATGCAAAAACGTCATGCTTAAGTATGTTCGAAAAGCTGTCCCTCTCCTCATCCTCCTCATCCTCATCGTCGTCTGCATTTCATATTCCTCCCGGAGGCACGCGGATCCTCCTCCTCCTCCTCCTTACGGGAGGGAGGGGGAGAAGGAGCAGAAGGAGGAGGATCAGCAGCAGCAACAGGAGCAGGCATGAGCACGAGGACGAAGAGCGCGAGTGGGAGGAGGAGGAGCAGAACAAAGAAGAAGAGGAAGATGAGGAAGGAGGCGAAGGAAAAGGCGAAGGAGAAGGGAGGAGAAGGAGAAGGAACCGAAGAAGGGGAGGGGGAAGAAGAGAAGGGAGGGAGGCAGGGAAGGAGAGAGAAGGAGGAGGATGACCAGAGTAAGCCCAAGATGCATCAACGATGCTGCAGCACACCCTCCCGCCCCAAGTCTCCTCCAGACTCGTACATCCAAGGATCCTTATTGAGCGCTGTGTCGCTTCTGCGCTTTGGGCTCGTCGTCGTTTCCCCTTCGGCCTCGTCCTCCTCCTCCTCCTCCTCCTCCTCCTCCTCCTCCTCCTCCTCCTCCTCCTCCTCCTCCCCCTCCCCCTCCCCCTCCCCCTCCCCCTCCTCCTCCTCTCCCTCGTTCTCCTCTCCCTCGTTCCCTCGTCGCCCTCACCAAAGCCCAGAAGTGGGGCCGACCCCAGGCTTTGCCCCCCGGCGGGGAAGGGGGAAAAAAAACATCCAATGATCTTCTTCTTCCCTGCGCGAAGCGTCCCCCCCCCACCCACACCTGCAAAAACGAGCGCCCCAATTGGGGGCCCGCAGCTCAGGCAAGGAGCTCCCTGTTGAAAGAGCTCCCCATATCCTCCTCCCTCCTCCCTCCTCCCTCCTCCCTCCTCCGCTCCTCCTCCTCCTCCTCCTCCTCCTCCTCCTCCTCCTCCTCCTCCTCCTCCTCCTCCTCCTCCTCCTCCTCCTCCCTTCTCCTCCTCCCTTCTCCTCCTCCCTTCTCCTCCTCCGTCTCCTCCTCCCCCACCACCTCCTCCTCCTCCATGCGACAAGGCGGGCCCCCGGCGTCCAGGGAGAAGTGCCCAGCGGCGGCCCCGCTCTGAGGAGGGGCCGCCCTCAAAATCCGTGTACGGTGGCTGCTGGGCAGTGCCAGACTTTTGCGCTACGGTGGGGGCGTTGGTTCAAGACTGCGCCCAGGAGGCTTCACACCCTGGAGCGTTCCTTATCTGATGATGCGGCGGTGATCCCCATGGCCCATCCACAATTGACGTTGCACCGGCTTCTGGACCCTGGATTCCTTATGTCAGGATTCCTTGTCCAATGCCCCCACCGTACCATTAAATCGGGCATGTCGCTGCACAGGAAGAACCTTCAAAATTAGTCAAACAATAATGTGGGGATGAAGTTTTACCTATTTTCGACCATGTTTGGATATGCATGGGTTATTATTTACTTGTCCTCCAAAATCCGCTTGCAGGAGGAGATGCCCGACCTAGCGCTAGCACTTCTAGCGAGGTCTCGACGGCGAGCTCCGTTTTGAAAAAGAGCCGCTCGCCATCCGTGCAGCGGGCGCATCTGCCAGCACGCGGGGCACGATTTGTTGAGGGAGCCCCAGCAGCGAGGGCCCCGTGTTGAGCATAAGCCGCCACCCACCCGCACGGGCGGCCCAGAGTAGTAGGTCGACCCCGCCAGATCAAGGGTACCCCGTGTGCCCTGTGCCTCGGGGCCCGTGCTCCCTGCATGCCTGTGGCAGTATGTGGCCCTCGGAGGGGTCCCGTGTCCTCTCGCGTGTCCTGTCCGATCGAGTCCGACCGTTGTGATGCTCAGCACTGCCTCGCACGAGTGTGCGCGGCGCCAGGGCGAGAGCCCCGTTTTGAAAGCGACCCGCGCTTCCTGCATTCCTGTGGCAGTGTGGCCCTCGGAAGGGACCCGTGCCCTCTCGCGTGCCTTGTCCAGTCGGGTCCGACTGCGTGACTCTATCAGCACTGCCTCGCACGAGTGTGCGCGGCGCCTGGGCGAGAGAGCCCCGTTTTGGAGGCGAGTGGCCTTCCGTGCGCGCGCGGCGCCGGGGCGAGAGCCCCGAGCTGAGCAGCAGTCGCCCCACGTCCCTGGCATCGCTCGGGCGTGTGCACTTTTTCTCTGAGGCCCCGCCTGCCTGTGCCCTGTCTCCCTAATTAAAGCTGTGCGTAGCCCGCCTAGCTTTTAGCGGAAGAGGTTCGCGCTCGCCCCGCCGATCCCAAAAGTGTGCATTTTTTCTCGGCGAGAACCATCGAGGACCATCCTGGACCCTCGAGCGAGAAAAGCACGAACGAAGCCGCAAAATGCACGGGGAATGGACGTCCGAGCGACGGCAAGCATCCGTGTAGGTGCTGGGTGTGCTTGAGACGAGTGCGCGCGGCACAGGTGCGGGAGCCCCATCTTGAGAACAACCCGCTCCCCATCCGTATCGAAATCAGCCTGCAAGCTTCAATACCATGAGCGGTGGGGGAAGTCTCAGGCGAAATCTTCTGGCAGGCCCTGACGACACGTCTGGCGTTGCGACAAGGAGGACGGAGGAGGAGAGTGGGAAAAGAAAGGGGATGGAGAAGAAAGATGGGCAGTGGAGGAGACTGCAAAAGATAGAGGAGAAAACAGGATGATTGAGGAAGGGGAGAAGGAGGAGAAGGAGGAGGAGGAGGAGGAAGACTAGCAGAAAGAGAAGGATGTGGATCAGAGCGGAAGGAGGACAACGACATGGAAGATGAAGAGGAGGAGGAGGAGGAGGAGGAAAAGGAAAAGGGAGAGGAGATGGAAGAGATGAGGAGCAGGAGGGAGAAGCATCAGGAGGAGGAGGAGGAGGAGGAGGAGGAGGAGCGAGGAGCCGCAGCAGCAGGAGGAGGAGAAGTGGATCGGGGCACG